GCACGAAGCGAGTTCGTTCATGTGGAGACTGAGGTGCAACTGATTGTTAAAACTGGTAAGCCAACTGTTTGACATACACACGGGTTGTCTTTTAATGAAAAGTTGAGTAATAACCATCATTAAACAACAAATTTGATTGGATGACAAAGTGGCAAGAGTTTTTAAAGCAATCGATCAGCAGTAATGCGAAACCAAAGAAAATATGAAACACTTTCTATACTCAAGTGAAAACCGCTCCATGACCTTATCATGAACCTGTCTATTTTATTTGTATCTTGTTTCTTTTGCCCCTTGTTGGTTAAATTAGTAAGGTTTTATTGTGGGAAAGAGAACCTAAAGATTGTTATATAACTTAGTAGGTTACTGGCATACGTTTCTCGAAATCCGGATTCTAAATAGCAAAAGCGCTCTTTGTGTACTACCGTGACTTTGTTTTCCTCTAACCGTGAGTTGTGGAAAAGAATTATTTTATTTGCAAATGAGTTAGAAAACACAACTAAACTTTGAAGCTGCCCATTTCTTCCATTGACTAATTGTTTTGTCTTCAGCCCGAGACTGTGCCGAGCTGTTTTCTGCTGGCTTCAAGGAAAGTGGAGTGTACACAGTCAACCCAACAAACAAAACCAGTTTTGAAGTGTACTGTGACATGAAGACAGATGGCGGTGGATGGACTGTCTTTCATAAACGCTTCAATGGGTTTGTTGGATTCTACAGGGACTGGGACGAGTATAAGAACGGCTTTGGTGACGTCAGGGGAGAGTATTGGCTTGGAAACGAAAAGATTCATCAACTGACTGAGATTCCGAGCCAGCTGCGAGTGGAAATCAACTCAACATCTAGTGGAAGTAGATATGCCAAGTATAGTAATTTTTCAGTTACTAACGAGGCAACTAACTACACACTGTTTGTTGATTTCTATTCTGGGAACTGTGGTGATCACCTTAACTATCATAACGGCATGGCTTTCACTACCAAGGATCGGGATAATGACAAGGAGAAAAGTTATAACTGTGCTGTAAACCGCAAAGGAGCTTGGTGGTTTAAAAGCTGTACCAATTCTCATCTAAATGCTAACTATGGAGACAGTTATTATTATTGGAACTGGAACTACCTCAAGGGAAGTGAAATGAAACTCAAACCAAAATCTCCTTGATCATTCTACGGATAAACGCTGATCAAAGTAAGCACAGGAATGAAAGGAAAACTGGCAAAACTAAATGCTATTCACTAATGTTTATGTTTTTTTTTCTTACAATATAGTCCCATTTTTAACAAGAGTACAGACTTAGTGGATCATGAAAACCATCACTCTCGCTAGGTTACTGGAGGGGAGCGGGGGAGGCGGTTGCAAGAATTTGATCCACTCGATATTGCTTTTCCTCCTTCCGACTCGGCACGATTGCTCAATCATATTCTTTGTGGGATTTGTCTAACTACCCATCCCGTTGTGTTGTCAGTTCCCCATTTAAGCGACAAACTGCCCGTAAACGAGAGTTGTTCGAAAAGCAATTCATCAAAATCTTTTAAGAAGGGTATGCCTGACTTTAAATTCATATTGGAT